TGGTGTAGATGGTGCCGCTGACCTACATTCTTCATGGGCTGCCTGCACACCAATTTTCAGTCGCTCAGCTCTTGTATGGACTGAGATCCGAGGGGGGGGGGGATACTTTTGTCAAGTAGTGTATATTTGAAATTGAATTGACACAGAGGACAGTCAACAAAAAGTATATTCTTCATTCTTCATTTTTGTTGATTTTTATAACCGATTACATGAATAGTTTGACGATGTATAATGAATATTTTGCCATTAATTGTATGCATTATTCAATTCGGTGTCAGAGATCCAGCTAGACAATTCATCTTCGTATCAATATCGTATTAAGAAAATTGCTTTACATTCAAAGTGCGATTTGAATAGTAAATATTACACACTCGTCGGAAGGTGATTTTCATTGAAATCTCCAAAACCACTTATGGCTTGGTGAGGGGTGGCAATACTACTAATTGTTCCGATTTCTTGTGCTTATTTTAATTATTACTATTTATTTCTCGTTATTCACCACACTCCATTCATTTTCTTCACTATTACACTTCCTCTTGACTGTTTCATTTAGTCTATCCATCTGTACACATTTTATCGTTCTCGCTTCAGTCATTGATTGTCATCTTGTTGTTGCTCATTATTTGTTCAATACATTGATGAATTTTTATTCACCTTCAACTCATATCAACTTAGTTAATCATCTGCCCATATTACACGGGAATCTGGGATTGCATCCAGTTGTATCGCGGAGGTGGAGCCGAGCATGAAATTCGTCATGCACTTCAAAAATATTTTGCTAAAATCACGATGTCTCTTAGCTGTATTTAAGTCATTTATGACTAGTGCTTCAAGTTATTCTTTCGACGTTGCGATCTACATCTGTTGCACCAGTTTATGTTCTTGTAGTAGAATTTTTGAAGGCAGTCCACCTGTTAGTGTCAAATGTGTATTAGCAATTCAAGTAAATTGTTCATCATTATTGAATCCTGCCAACTATAGAAAAAGATCAAACTCTTAAAAAACCACTTTGACATCACACCGTATCAATATTAGTAACAATAGCTGAAAGTGAAATCTGTTCTTCTCTCAATAGAAAACCATATTGATTTATTAGGAAACTCGCCTCATGCATAAATAAGGTATGGTAAACGTATCCTCTGTCACTGAAAACTGATTGTGTTTATTAGCTCATACGCTTTTTTTAGTGTTATGATAACATAGTCTAATCAAGATCGATTGTGATTAAGATGAAATATCGAAGTTTATCTTTTCTAGAATATTCTTTTAGTAATTGATAAAGGAAATGAATAAGGCCATTCAAAGACAAATTGAACTTTGTAATTTTTCTGCTTGTATAACACTTTTGAGAGCAAATGGCTTTGACAAGCAAATTCTTCCAATAAAATTGACTACAACAAATAATCAGAACATATCTTTCTTAGTTAGATGCTTTAGATATACTGTCTCAAAAGTTTTATTTTTAGGTTTGAGTTGTACTGCCTGATTGAATTTCGATTTGACAGATACTTATGTCACTGTTCTTGCGTTCTCGACTATATGGCATTACATTTGATACGATATTTGTTTTCAACAGTCTTTTTTTAGACGTATTCAAGTTTTCCAAACAGAATTGTACAGTTGGATGATCTGGAGGTAGTGAACGAAGTGCAATTTTATACGCTTCCAAATGGTATTTGCAAGCTTTATCATAATAACGTGTCTTTGTATAGACGTTCCCGAGATTGTTACAAGTAACAGCTAATTCGATTGAATTCATTAGTGGTATACGTCGCTGTAGTTTAAATGCTTTTTCAAAACAGTTGAGTGCTTCTGGAATTTGATGTTGATGATAATAAATGCTGCCCATATTGGAATATAAACGAGCAATATACAAGAAATTTATTGGTTTTCTTTGCCCTTCAATTTTGCGCGCAAGTTGGTACATCTTGAGTGCTTTATTATAATCGTTCAGTTTCGTTTGATTACCACCCTGATTGTCATAAAATACAGTGAGATCGAGTCGGAAAGGTGAAGCTAGAGCATGGGAGAATGCTAATGTGTGATGCTCGTTTGCTTTAGCATAGTTTTGCTTCTGATAATATATCACACCCAAGTCATTTTGAATGGTAGCAAGAAGTTCATTATCATCAATATCTCCTAATTTCTTTAGCCATTTTTCATAATGATCCGCTGCTAAATCATATTCACCAATATGATATAAAAAGCGGCCCCATGTAAGATGTAACGGACCTTTATCGACTACGATTCTGTCGAGAAAATGTTGTTTAATTGCTTTCAATTCATTAAGATTGTCATCAGCGACGTAGTTTAGTTGCACATACCAATAATTCTCTTCAGATTTCTGAACTGATGCAATCTGAAAAATAGATCCAATCATGAACAAGCATTCTTCTTCACCCTGATATTGACTTCTACTGGCTATATCAAAAACAAAATTTTTGGTGATTGTCATTTCGAAAAGTAATCGTGTTATACCATTTCCGTATTCTTCGCTGCTCCCAGCACATATGAACGCCAATGCAACATCTTTATCGCGCGATGTTGACAAAAAAGAATTGAATGATATGAGTCCATTAACATTACGTTGCAGTTTTTCAACTTCACTAATCGCTATGGATTGCCCGCGAAAGAGTTTAATCATGCTTGCATCCTCACATTTCATGCTCATCAATTGACTGTATAGATCGACAATAAACATACGTAGATTGAATATACTTGATACATTTTGAGTGCGCAATGCCTGATTGACTAGTTCATAAAAACAAAACCCTTGGGTATACCATTTGAGAGCATCTTTTTCTCGATATTCCTTTTCGAATCTGTCTATTTGATTGAGTCGATTTGCAGCGTTTCTTGACTTTTTACGGCATTCAGCCAAAAAGTCAGCTTTTGCTTCTGGCGTCGGCAAAACTTTCACTATGATGTCAATCATTATCTGATACCAAACAAACGTGACGCTTTCTGTAGTCAGACTACGAATCGATAGCTCTGTATTGTTTGGACTAAATACATTGAAAATACCATTCGAGGTAGTTGTGATCGACGACGAGAGTGGATGTATATCAGTAAATAAACCTCTCAGTTTAGGACAGATATCCTTCATTTCTTGGTTAGTACGCGATAGGTGCCGATTTTGTCGACCGAAATGACGATATATAGCATATACTGAAAACAACTCTTGAAATTTAGTCAAAGTTCCTTCATCGTTTGCATATTCATCTGCAACAATAACCAAAACGTGCTCACTCTCGATCGAAGACAAATAATCAAAACAATCAACAGCATTATCAAAGATATGAAAGTTATTGTCATCGACGACTATTGGTGGATCGTGACTAGGTAATGGAAAATACTCGTAACGATTAAAGCTTGATGCGAGAACAACGGTAATCCATCGCTGACATTCTTCTATATTTTCTTCTATAAAAGTTTCGTCGTTGTCTGTGAGGTGCAAAAAATCTTGATTGCCATTCGCTTCGTACATAACATTCTGATTATTGTCTACGTTGCACTTGTGATCTTGGCAATAATCTTCCTCATTATCTCGTGTCCAAAATATCCACTTTAAAAGAGGAAATGATTCAGATTGCGAATTGCTGGGATCACTATCACTGCAACTATTTGCGTCACTAATATCTCTAGCACAGCTGTTGGATGTGAATTGTGTGTGTGCTGTTGCTGTGCGTATCGGTGTGTCTGTGGATTTTGGTAATGGATTGCGGCCTTCATTATATTCCCACTCAGTTGAGTATTGATCTAATACAATGAACCGAACTAAGAAATTCACAGTCAAACAAAAACTAACTCAAATCAATTTATTGTAACAATATTTCAACTCAATTGCACCAATCAAATTTTTTTATGTAGCTTTTGAATGTTTTAATGAGTTCAACTGTATTCAGTGCAGCAATTCTTGGAATATATTTTCAAATCAATTCATGAATTGAACTGAGCTGAATAATCTGTTTTTCAAGTAGATTTCCTAATTCTGATAAGATGTATATTTCATATTATGGTGCGCTGCCTAACTTGCAATGCAGTAGACAATGTCTTGCGATCCACTAGATACAGAAATATATTGACATTTTTGAGACTATAGTGATATGAAACTATATACATAGATTTTATCAAGCGAAAAAAATATAATTGTAGTATCATCATACGAGCAAGATTTAGAAAATGCAACTGTGATTCTGCTACAACGGCATACAAGAAGACATCAAAATACCTCATAAAATAAGTCATGAAAAGTTGGTTTACTTCGTATATTGTGTACATTTATTTTCAACCACGTTTAATAGTACTTTTTTCGACTGAATTGAACTAAATTGGTTTCAGTTGAAAGCATCGGCTTTTAGATTAACTTAACAAGCTCTACAATGAATGGATGTAGAAAAAACGACCACATACTGAAAAATCCCAGTTAAAGTTATAAACTCTTTTTTCATCACAGAAGTAACAAGACTGGTATCGTTCGCTAGATATATATACACTGAAAATGCTGAAAACGTTGTCTCCACTATTACTGATAGTACTTTTCCATTTTATCTGTTTAAACGGAAAAACATGTCAAGCCACAATCAAGTTTTAGAAGCCGTTGACTGAAAGTTTAGATAAATTTGCACTTATTCGAGTAGTAAAAGCATATGGGAATGTGCTACAGTTTCAAACTGTCTTTTTTTCGAATTCATCTCTAACAAAGATCGGCAGAAAAAAATATATAAAGTATTCTATATCGATTCATTTGACTCTCCTTCATTTCGGTTTATGAAGATATCGTTTCTCTACTCACCCACAAAGTTCTTTTTCACGGACGCAAACGAACAGCGTAGAATAATAAACCCATACAGGATGTATGAAATAGGAACGTTCAAGGAAACCTATTTACCATATGCCACAATTTTTCTAAACCCCTTAATAAATCCTTTCAAAGAATATATGAAAGAGTTCATCATTGTAAAAGAAAATAGAGAGTAATAAACTCTTATTATCCGTTTGCCACAATTAGATAAGCCTCGTGTAGGCTTATAAGTGTAATGTACTGTTTCATAAATTCTTTTATCATAAATCTTGGCCAGAATTTGTGAACCATTGCACTTCCTTGCCAAGATGTTAGATTAAGCTCATAAACCTAAAAAAGGTTATCTAATAATAGAAAACGGATAATGAGGGTTTATCATGCTCCGTTTTTTTATGTCAATCAGATGGGTACAAATCACGAGAGAAAAAATGAAAATGTCATATATAATTGTACGTTAAGGATATATCTAAGATATTCTTGTGAATTTCTTAGTTATTTCAAGTCTACTGCAGATATGTGTCATAAGAGTTTCGGTTTTTACTTCATTGTGTATAAATTTATCCTCAACAGAAGCTTAAATAAGTACTTGTACTTCAATTATACTCAAATGTGAAATACGTCAAATAATTGAGGCTTCTGCTTGAGATTAATTTATATACAATGAACTCTAAATCATACTATCTTAGTAAAAATTTGTAGCAAACTTAGAATAGCTAAGATATTCTCGAAGATAGCCAGAACATATCACTGTAGTACGTTGAAATCAGTAATTTTCAATTTTCTTTCTTTGACAGAAATATATGTCACGAAATATGAAAAGACTCAAGAAAGTTCTTATACAGGCATTTTTCGGATTTCTCTGCTGTAACTATAAAAGAAGTCCAACTGTAAGTCGGCTGAAGAATAAAACCTTTTGAAATCTAGTCAATCTGAAATAAAGAATTATTACGTGCAACTCAATTCCAACTATACGAAACTTAACAATTTGTGTTTTAAAGCAAGTAAACAATATACAAATACTACGTAATTTTATTCATCTATGTGAGAAATATAGCTTTCGCCCTGAAAATGAATAAGAAAAGTTTACTTTACCTCTTCGAACGGCCTCAATCGATGAACGACCGATATATACTTACTCTATCTTCAGTTAGTGAAATACGATATTCGCTATTACAATGAATGGGAACGAGAATCGTTATTACTAAATGGTTGGTTCATGTGAAAAAAACGATATTCTCTATTGCAATAGTCTAGAATAAAAGGATCAATTTCTGTATCTGAGTTAGATCGAAGAAAAAGAATTTTTTGTATAAGCGACAAATAAATTTTATAAAACGGCCGTCTCTAATTACACCGTAAAGAAAGAAACATTTTATCTCTTAGAACAGACGAAAAATACAGAATCATCAGCTTATTTTATCTATCAGGGTAGAATTGTTAATGTTTTTGGTCATCACTTTGTGAATAAAATGCCTCTGAGTATTCAACGAAAACTAGAAGAAGACTTTTATTAACTGATATGAGCACACTAAAATATGTTCCATAACAAAAAACCTAATAACAAATATGATAAGCATCGATAAAATCGCGAAGTATATCTTTATTGTGAAGATTTTAAGAGTAGGTTTCTGAGAGACTCAGACACCGACGCTGATGAGACATCTCAGAATTCACTAATTTTTTCATATGTTGTAGAAGGTAGTGAATTTAGTATTCTATGAAATTTTCAGCTCGATCTAATTACTTTTTTCTGTACAAATAATCAAGATACTAACGGAATTTTTGATAATTTTTAATAGTGATTTTTTTATCGATTTTCAGGCAATTTTTTGAGTATAATTGATTTTCGCGTTTCAATTTGTGAGACTTTCGACTTTTCGTTTTTCTAACTATAACTATTAAAATATTGCCCTTCTGCACATCAAATTTTAGGAGTTTTCGTTAATCCTCTGGGGACTTCTGGAACACCATTTAAATAGTTTGTTTTGTCAAAATGTCGGTCAATCGAATCTTATGCCACAACTGTCATGTGCTCTCATATTTCTACCGGTAATAGAGTGCATCAAGTTCTAACACTTAGGATATCTGACAATTTGTTTCCATGAGAAAAGGGAAGCACTTTTAATTAAAAGTCAGTTTTTTCTTATCTTTCATAGGATATGTGTGAAGATGCTGGTCTTTTACCATAGATTATACTTTCTCGACTGGCTAATGCTTTCATGTTTAGCTATTACTCTATTGTGGCTAGCATGATGATATAAAATTCCTAGAACAAATCTTTGGCATTTTTATTTTTAGTAGAAGAACGACGATACGCGTAGTGAAGGGTCGCTTCCACTGAAAATAGTATAAATAGGGGTATTATGAACTTTTGATTGGAAAAAGTTGACTTTTGTCAAGAACAAACCTGATATTTCGAATCAGGATGAAAAACTATCCTTAAAAAAGCATGTTTCATGAGAAAATATTTTTCATCGAAATTTCATCTACGGGGAACCACAGGAAAAATATTACGGGTACATAGCTGAGAAGGAATATAGTGAAATTTTCATCGGAAAAATGTTAAGATGAATAACGTTTTCTAGTGTCGTTTTGTGTACGAAAAAAGTGAATACACTCTAGAATCGATCAGTGTGTCCGGCCGTCCGTCCGTTTACACGATAACTTTTGAATGGAGGGTCCGATTGCGATGAAATTTTCTACACAGTTCAGTCTTAACAATATCTCGGTCGAGTTCGGAGATGAGCATGATTGGCCCAGCCGTTCCTGAGTTATTGCAAAAATAGTCATTTTTCCCTTTGCCTTCCTATGCGAAAATTGACCTATCCTCGATGTCGTAA